AGAAAGCCTCATCTTTCTCCTGTGGAGTGGCTGGTGGTTTCGAATTGTTGACCTTGAGGTAAGCAGCCCAACACATAATCCACGGCGCCACCAGGGCTGCCTTATGGTGTCCAGGGTAAGCCAAACCCCTCAAACCCAAACAAGCCCATTCTGACCCATATCCACAAAGGGCAACAGATCAGCAGGCTCTTCTGGAGCAGTTAAGAGATTAAAACGGAACCTTATGGGAACTGTGCGTGCTATGGGTGCGGTGCTCCAGAAAATGTCCCTGTGTTCTTATGCTGGTGGAGATCCAGTACTTCCCATCCGACACAGGCTGCTAACCGAAAGGCTGGCATTTCAAGGGCAACCTGAGGCACCTTGGAAGCAAGGCCTGGCGATCTATTTAGGAAAATATAGTCACTGGAAACTCTATGGAGCACAGCTCTGCTCTGACACACACACGAGGTGCCCTGAGTCAGAGTCCACTCGACAGCCACTGGTTCCCCCCATGGAGTCTTCCATCTGAGAAGAAGACTGGGGACACTGGAAGAAAGCAAGGCACTGCTTGCCGGGCTGGATTGCTCCCCTAAGTCAACACACCCGGAGACAGTTAAATTTGTAGAGGTGGGGAAAAAGTCCAAGTGTGGTCCCCAAATTCTGCTATGAGTATAATCGCTTTTTGTCTCATTCCCCTTCCTTGCCCTGTCCCTACATTGCAGAGGACTTTTAGTTTAAATTTGGGAATGACTAGAGGGCGAGAAGTCCTGGTGGCATAATGGTAACCTTGCAGTTAGCAGCTTGAATCCCCCAGGTGCTCTTTGGGAGAAAGATGAGGCTTTCTAGTCCCATGAAGAGTTCGTCTTTGAAATGCACGGGGCTGGTTCTACTCTAACCTAAAGGGTCACTCTGAGTTGGAATCGACTCGATGGCAGTGAGTGTTTTTTCGGTTTGGGTGGTGCTTGGCCACTAGCTGAAATGTTGACGGTCCGAACCCACTGAGAGGCACATCGGAACAAAGTCCTGGCAATCTGTCTCTGGAAGGTCATTGCCATTGAAAGCCCCGTGGAGGGCAGTTTGACTTCTCACCCGTGGGGCTGCTGTGAGTCAGAACCAATTGGAGGGTCACTGGTAAAGGAAGACCAAAGGAAAAACAAACCACATTGAATCCACTGCCACAGAGTTGATCCCGACTCACTGTGATCTGTGAACAGACTTCCTCAACTTTCTCTCTCAGTGGCTTTGAACCACTGACCTTGTGGTTACCAGACAGCGCCACCAGGGCTCCTTAAAGAGAGACTCCAAAACCAAACTCATTGCCGTCATGTTAATTCTGACTCATAGCGACCACGTAGGGCAGAGCAGAACTGCCTACCAGCTGTGGGTTTCTGAGACTGTAAATCTTACAAGAATAGAAGAGTAAAAAACTCTGGGAGTGGGCTCGTGGTCTAGAACTGCTAACCTTGCAGTTAGCAGCCCAACACGTAACCCACTACACCACGAAAGCTCTCTATGGAAAGACTCTCCTTGCCATCCAATCAAAGCTGACTCACAGCGGCCCCTGTGGGGCTTTCTGAGACTGTACCTGTTGATGGGAGGAGAAAGCCTAGTCTTTCTCCCATGGAGCTGCTGGTGGTTTCGAACTGCCGACCATGTGGATCACGGCCAAATGTGTATCCACTACACCACAAAGAGGACTAGAGGAAGAAAATGCTTGTCTGTGTATGAGCTGATGCCTATCTCGGAGAGAGAAAGACAGAGAAGACTAAACCAATGGA